GGTGTCGTGGTGTGGTGGTGTGGTGTGGTGTGGTGTGGTGGTGTGGTGGTGTGGTGGCGCGGTGGCGCGGTGGTGTGGTGGTGTGGTGGCGTGGTGGCGCGGTGGGGGTGTTGGGGTGTGGTGGTGTCGCGGTGTCATGGTGTGATGGCGCGGTGGGGCGGTGGGGTGGAGGTGTGGTGGTGTGGTGGTGTGGTGGTGCGATGGTGTGGTGGTGCGGGGGTGTGGTGGTGCGGCGGCGCGGTGGCGCGGTGGTGTGGCGGTGTGGTGGCGTGGTGGCGCAGTGGGGGTGTAGGGGTGTGGTGTGTCGTGGCGTCATGGTGTGATGGTGCGGTGGGGTGGTGGGGTGGAGGTGTGGTGGTGTGGTGGTGCGATGGTGTGGTTGTGGTGTCGTGTCGTGGTGTGGCGGTGTGGCTTCCTTGAGGCTCAAGGATGCCAGTCTTGACCAGCAGCGATGTCAGCTCTTTCCCTTCCTTGCAATGAAGAATTGCAACCAGGTTCTGAGCGAGATCCTGCAAAAACAAGATGTTACTTCCTTGCAGTCAGGCCCGTACGCTAATCCCAACAATTTAAGCTCACGATACCAAAGATTCCAGTAACTCATGCCGACTAAATTCATAGTAGCAAGGTTTAGGGTTTAAGGTCTGAGGCCTCAATTTAAAGTATGGGGTCAGAATCTAACTGTAGTTCCGAACAAACAGCCCAAGCATAAAGAAAAGCACCCTCAGCATCTAGAAAAACACCCTCAGCATAACGAAAGGCCATGGCGGCCTGGAATCAACAACACAGCAGCATAAAAATACACACACCCAGCGTAAATACAGAAACCACAGCATAAACTCAAGAACCATGCCAGCCCTGGAAGCATGAAATGAACGAACTACCTAAAAACAAATGGCCGAGCATAAGGGAAAACACCTTCAGCATAAGAAGAACTACGCAGCCCCATTTTTTCTTACATCCCTGTTGGGTTTATTTATTTCTTAGGGCTTGGAGCAAATGAGGGCTTGGGATTCGCGGTTTGGTGTTCATTGAAGATTGAAGTTGCTTAGGGTTGTTTAGGATTTGGGGTTTGCAGTCGTTTGGATTTGGGGTTTGCAGTTGTGAAAGATCTGCCATCTGTTCATTGGACCTTCCGGCTGTCTAGGGTTGATTAGGGATACGGGTTTAGGATTCGGGGGGGTTGGTGTTATTGGGAGTGGTTTAGGGATGGCTTGCAGTTTGGTGTTCAATGGTTAGGCTATAGCCTTCGGGATTGTGTTAAGTTGAGTTGGTTTTCAAGGTCTAGGGTTCAGGGTTGAAGAGGGCCTAGGGCTTGGGAATCATTGATGTATGGGCTTAGAACTGTTTGGAGAACGATCATATTATCTGTATCCCTCAACGAACACAGGTGTGGTGCTTCAAGATGGACAGCACATGCTTGACCATAAGTGCGATGCTCAACAGTGAAATCATTGTACCCTCGACCCTGCCCAACCACCATCACCACCACAACTACCAACACCGTCACCAAGCCCAGACAACCAAGAACCTAGCAACAAACGAGAACAACGCCCGCATCGGCGGCGGCAGCAGCAACAGCAGAAACGAAGACGCAATAGAACAGCAGCTGCAGCAGCAGCAGCCGCAATGAGGACCGCCAAGACCATGCTCGCCACTACTGTGCCGCCAACCACATCTCAGAGAAAAAGAACTACACACCTCCCGCCCAAAAAAAACAACGAGCCTTGTGTTCAAAGAACCAACCCGCAAGGTCAACAGCGGGGCACAATACTCAGAAGCCCTGACAGTCGCGTGCGGAAAAACTTTGAACCGAACCTTTGGTTTCTGGAAGCCTGCCGAATCTCGATCCCCGACTTATCTCGCTGCATTGATGCATCTCCTCCCTAGCAGGCCATGCTGATGCGAATCCATGTCGACCCTCCCCTCTCTCCTCAACCAAGCCCTCTGAAATGGACCTAGATTGCCGCTCCGTCGACCTTACTCCCCGCCCTCTCCTGCTTCTCTGTCCACCGCATCCGTGCGCTCCACTTCCCCATGGACAGCGAAATTTCCGCAACATCTTCGACACTTTGCCCCAAACCTCGCCCCCCTCACGGTGAAGACGTATATCAAGAAAGACAATACCAAGGACAGCACGAATGAAGGCGGGAACAGCACACGAAAATGCAACAGACGCAAAAGCGATGAACCAAGCGGAAGGGGAGAGAAGACCCATCACAAGCAACCCTGCTTCATCCAGGCAGCGCGTCCAACACTCGTCCTCCCTCAATTTGTCCAGCGCTCTCTTGCTAGCCACAATCTGATCCGCTGCGCCTGGTGACGTTCCATCAGCTTATCAACATCACTATAGAAGATTATAGGGTCACTAGAGTCTAGAAGTCTAGAGAGCGCCACAGCACTGCCAGAACCTGGCCTGATGCCAAGGCCGGCTTGGCTGGAGCCAAGCCCAAGGCCAGTGCAAGTGTACGCCTGCAGATAACGCAACTTGCAGTCAGCAAAGTGTCCCAAGACTCTCACTGGTTGAAGCTCTTCAAGCCTTGTGACTCGCTCAGCTGGCGTAGGGTGAGAGCCCTATCACATGTGTTGCATTGAAGCAACATCCGCAGACATGTTTTAGGAACTTGTACTTAAAACCAGCCTCGGTTGTGACGCCAGTCGTAAACGCATTGGGCAGGGAGAGTCTGCGAAAGGAAGCAAACTTCTTGGGATTCTAAGGCCCAAGTACGTGAGGCAGCCCTGTCCGTCCTTGTCAGCGTCAGCATAGCAAGCATGGCAAGCACAGTCCAAACGCCTCGGAAGCTGCGGCAATCTCACATGGCTGCATATGGCCATCTGCTACCCTTGATGATCCGGGTTGCCATGGCCGCCAAGGTGTCGAGCCACTGCCAGCCGACTCTGGCGTCTACATGGCGGCACAGCTTGCAAACTTTGCAGCGATACCATGGCTTCTGTACAGCTCAAGCTTGGCTTGGGCCAACGCAGCCAGGTTTCGGACTCAATGCTTAACTTCTTTGTCACTCCACGCCTATGCCTACACAGCTGCAGCTCGAGCGTCACACACACCGAGGCTTGATTCCAGCCAGCTGCGGTCTTTGACTTGATTGCGATGCCTGGGGAGCTGCTGCAAGCATGGCGACTTCAGCACGAACACATCAGCAAATAAGCGCAGCACCCGTTGGAGTTCGGAGAAAGCTGCAGCCTAAACCACCCCCAGCTTTGCTTAGTCATTGTTGCTTTGATGTCAGCAGGCTGCTTGCAAGAGGCATAAACGGACTTGGCGACGAATCGTCCACATCCAGAGCCTCAAGAAGCAAAAAAAAAATGAGCACAGCAATTTCGATGTCAAACTGCACAGGGCTCAGAAGTACAACCCCTCGCTGGCCTGGGGATCCAGTGGCTCTGCGCGGAGCACCTGCATGTGCAAAGTCCAGGACAGTAAGTCTTTTTCCGCACTGGCGGTCATCTGGAAGGTTGGCACTTCATGCCACCATGCCAACTGAGCTTGAAACTATGCACTGGTCCGATGTCTCAGGACTTTGGGGGAGTGCAATTACAAGAACATGGAAAGGCTTCAAAATCTGCCGAAGCCAGTAGAGCAATGGTGGCATGGTGGCCTGGGGTGCGTTGATCCCCTCCGCTAAGCGATGTCTTTTTGATAGATTGCAAGAACATGGAACACGAAGTTGTCACTGGATTCACTTTCCTTCTTCTCTGTCCCGCCAGCTTGCCCTTAGGATCCCTTAGGCGGCAGTGAAAGTGAGAAAGAACGCCAAAAAACTTTCTGGGTCTGGACTGTCGACAAAAGCCACAGTTGATCAACACAGGCAACAATCAAGTTGAATGGCGTTGTCCAGGAAGGCTCGCAGCCATCCACCCTCCACCCTCCACACAGGCCCGGGGATATCAGTGTCTCGTGCGCGCACAGCCTCTCTGTCACACCTCTCAGTCACGGCCACTCGGGGGGACTCCGGTCCGAGCAGTTGGAGGCTTCAAAGTCTGTGCTCAGGATCAGATCGCCGACGCAAAAAGCTTGATGGACGTTCGGGGGTCTACACAGTGGTGCAAATTTAAGATTTTGGTTTCATGGTTACGTTGT